AGCTTTTGTTCTGTGGAAGAGAAGTAGGTGATCTGAAGGCATTCTTTTGTGTTCAAGATAATGTGATGAAAGAAGATAATGACAAGCTGCAAATCTTGCAAACCCTGACCTTGATGGCCACAATAGTGCAAATACAGCGGACCCCTTAGATGTCTGGAAGATAGAATAGAAAACAAGCATTTTGAGTTATCTGAGTTATTAAACTGTTCCCAGTAGACTGTCCAGAGTTAGCTCAGTATCTGCAGCCAAGCACTGAAAGCACTTTTTGGCTTATGTTAATCTTGCATGCTCAAGCAGAGGGAGCCTAAGCACTAGTAAGCATTAATGGCCTCAGGGGTTTTGATTATCCTGGATTTTGTACTGGTCACTGGCACAGTGGCATAAAAGAGGCCTAGTGGCAGTGAGGAGAGGTGTTGGTTGTAGTTTTATGACTGCGTTAGTGCTTTTAATATTAAGAGTCAGAGATCTTGGGCATGCCTGTTTTTGACCATCCGTCTGTCTTTTAAGCACGCAGACCTTAAGAGCACAATTAGGGGAGGGGAAGGGAAGTCCACTTCACTAATCTCCATAGAGGTCAAAGTACATATGAAAATGGTTATTTTTGATAAATACCCAGTACAGCTAAGTTAATGAAATAACAAAATAAGGCTTTTTCTCAGCTTAGCCCCTTACAGTTAAGCTGGCACTTGATTGCTGGTTTTGTAGCAGATTGATAGAAGAAAATACTTTTGCTTTCTTGTGTTACTGGAACAGCCCCATTATGTTTTTACTTTGCTTTAGGTCGTGTTACTGTGAAGCTGTATGATTTCATACAGCTGAAGGCAGTTTCATCTCTTCCTTAATGAAGAAGTTTCTCTGGAGTGCTGTGTTCTGTTTCAGGTTCCCATTGCAAAGATCCATGGGTGTGTGTCCAGTGAAGGTGCTGTATGGGAGTATGTGATGTTGAGGTTGCTGTCTTCAGGCACTGGGGAGGGTTCAGAGAGGCCAGTGCAATTCTTGGAGGTGTATGGTGACAGGACAAGAGGCAATGGGACCAAGCTTCAATAAGACAAATTCTGCTTAGAAACTAGGATGTGAAAGGAAAGAACCAATTAACGTAATATGAGCATCTGTGTGGCTGGAGGTATTCCGTGGTCAGTGTGCTGAGCAACTGTCTCTAAGCTGACTGTGTGCTGAGCTGGTGATTGGACCCAGGTTTTCTCAACAGGTTATTTTGAATATGTATTATTCTGTGATTTTATTCATTTAAGCCTATCCCAGGTGGGCTATGCTGGTACATTTTCGGTACAGACAGGCCCTGATGTGGGTGACTTCTGCTTATTTGGACAGTATATGGTTACACGTAAAGAATATTTAACATGCCATCTGGTAAAAGACCAAACAGTAAAGTGTGGCCACGTGTCTGGTGAAAATTGCTCTGTTTTAGGCACATGGAGATTTAGCTTTTACACTTATTTATGAAGGATACTGTTTTGTAAGGCAGGATATAGAATGAGACAGTAATGATTGTTATAACTTTTACTGTGTTGACCTGTGGTACCTCTGTATGTCTGACTTCTGTACATCTGGTATAGATGACATTTTAACTTAGATTTCCATTGGTTAAAAAACAAATGGTTATTCTTTGTGGACTTCTTATTATATCTTTAGATTTTTAAGAATTTTACATCTGTTCATCTCTCTTACGTGGAATTGAAGCAAATGGGCCAGCAGCAGATTGGAAGTTACCCTGTTCACTTTCACCTTTGTGGGGATGTGGATGAAAAAGGAGGTTACAGTTTTAAGACTTACCTGGAAGGTCTTTCCATTCATCACTGTTTTTCCAGATGTGTGACTGTTCATGCAACTAATGGCTTGCTGGTAGGTGCAAGGAGAGCAAAACATACTGCGTTGAAATAAATGTTATAAAGAGCATTTAGAGCAAAGATAATCCCTTCCTTTCTTCAAGTTTAATGCTCAGCAATTTTTTTTATTGCAACGAATAGATGAACAAGTGCAAACAGTTACTTATTTTTAACAGATCTCACCATTCTGTTTTCTCAGCTTCCAGGCAGCTCAGCTCTCCAGACATAGTAGTGTGTTTGTAAGGGATAAATAAAACTGTATGCTTGAATCATCTGAACTACTGATACTGAAGCTTCACTTTGCAGCTGTGCCAAGATAGTAAAACTAAATGGTACTTGTCAAATAAATCTCAGTAAATGCTATTGCTACTGACATAATGAACTTGTATTTCTGCAGATAAAGGACACCATTGGCTATGACACACTAGGTCACTGTTTCTTCACAGAAGATGGCATTGAACAGAGGAATACTTTCTTCCACAACCTTGGGCTAGTCACGAAACCAGGCACTCTTCTTCCTACAGATAGAAACAGCAGCATGTGTATTGGTATTAGGGATAAAGTGTATGGAAATTATGTCCCAGTGCCAGCCACAGACTGCATGTGAGTATTTCTTGCTGAAAAAGTAAAATCAAACCAGCTGCACCAGTTAAACTGCTGATGTTCTCTTGACAATATACAGATGATAACATTTTTGTGTATAATTTAATGAACACAGACACCTTAAAAGTAGTTTACATAACAATGGTATTTTAAAAAAAATGAAAAAGGTGTTTATTCTTTTATTAAAAAGTAAGTTTTGTAGGAAGATTGTTGTTTCTTGTGATACTTCTTCAATAGACTTTTAAGACCACATCTTTACTTCTCTGTAAAAGGCAGACACGTTCTCAAGTTGTCACCACTAGTTTTTCTGCATGCTATTGATCTCTTGTAGAAGCTTATTAAAAGGATTTTATTATTTCATGGAGTATCTGAACAACATTAAATAAAATACTGTGCATTGAACGAAAAAAGAAGCATTTTTGACTTCTAGATGTGGGGCTGTTTGTGATTTTTATTTCATATGTGAAGTAGTGACTTCAAACATCAGTTTTGCTTTTTCTGATGTGCTTGTTATGAAGGGGAGATATTTCTGTATGAGCTAGAGCTTTTCCATAATAACTTCTTTCTGAACAATATTTCAGGGCAGTTTCGACATTCTGGATTTCTCATCCCAACAATCATCTTATAAATAATGCAGCAGCAGGCTCACAGGTGAGGCATACAGGTGTAATTCAAAACAAATTACTCATGCCACTGATATTTGTAAAGCCTGTGATGTTTACACTGCCAAAAATGAATATTTTTTTCTTTTTTTATATGAGAATATGTTCTTTTACGTTGGAGTTTACTGTGTTACTGTTCTGCAAGATTTGTCTTCATAGCTTTCATTGGAATGAAAGATTTCTACAAAAATAAAAGATTAATTGTGCAGGAAACAGCTACAACACTTTATTGTCAATCATTAGTCATTTGTTTCCCATCAGTGACAGTTGATATGTTTTTACTTCTTGTACTCTACTTATATTGGTGCAAAACTTTTGTCACAGCTGCTTGCAAAGTAAATCTGACTACTCAGCACCATGTTGTGGAGGGCTGAAGTCTGTTCTGCACTGGATGAGAGCCTGACATGTGCATGGTTTTGAGCGGAATTTCTGAAGAGATCAGTGGGGATGGAAAACAGGAAAGATTGTTGTAGTAAAGGCTCCAGTGCTGGAAGTAGAATATGAGTGTGTGTCACTGTATTCTCAGGCACAGAATGCATAATAAACTGTTATTAATGGAACAGGATTCAAAATATTTAATGAGTTTAAATATCTAGAGGATGAAAAAAATTAGAAAATTTTATTCTGCTGTTTGTGTGGATGTTTTTTTTCTTTTGAACAAACTTTTCTAGTTGACTGTCTACTAACAAGGAAGGATTTGGACATACTTATGAAATCAAACCAGTTCTTTTCTTCTGAACATAATGTCTTTCCATTTTGCCTGCTTTATGTAATATTCCTTTACCTTCTTTTAGCATTGCAGGCTAAGTTGAAAGAAACAGCTTCCTTGATCTGGTGTTTAAAACCTACAAGGTCTTTTTCTGCCTCTGTAGTGTAACCCAGTAAATGTCACTCCCTTTCATTACCAGAATGTGCGTGGTCAAAGCAGCTGTTTGTGTACATTACAAAGTTTTGCCACTCTGATGTACCTCCCTTGCATGGATGTAAGCACATTAGTATAAAGGGACTACAGCTTTTTATGTTTCAGAAATATAATACTTCAGCTGTGTTGATACAAACTCTGTATTGTAGAGCTTTTGCTGGTATAAACTGTAACAATTCACAAGCAAATAAAATAATTCCATTGCCTTCCCCAGCTCCTGTGTTACACAATGAAGCCCATTATAAGGGTGTATCAGCAATAGATGTTTCTTTTGTCTGAGCTGTATATGGGGGAGACGGGGAGACCTTTTTCGTTTTTCTGAATGCTTGCGTTTAAAGAGCTTTTAAGTTTATTAAACTGTTTTCCAGGCATCAGGATGTGTTTTGGATAAAAAATACTTGAGTCTGCCAAGCACAGAGCTGTATTTAATTATACATGAAGTAAGATTTTGGTATTTTTACTAATGGAACATCCACATTTGCTTTGGAATTGTTAATCACCAGAAATGTCAAAGTGTGTCGTCATTACGGATGGGAATATGTTACTGAGAAGCAGAATTTCCAGGACTGTTTGGAAAATGAGTGTATTCTCAGAGTGAAATGCACGAAATCTTTTAAGCCAGAGTGAATTGGCTTTATCCACATATCTTGAACAAGAGGATGATGAGTATTTTTTATGAGATGGAGCACTCAGTACATAGCTAGTTAGTTGCTGCTCAACCCTTTAATGTGCCTTATGTAAATTTTTCTTTATTTTATAAGGGCACAGAGAATGTAATTCAGGCAAAATTTTTCATGTTTGTAGGTATCTGCTGTGCAGGTACTGTCACAATGCCACCTCTTGGTGAACCTAGGTGTGGTTGAAAGGGGAACTTTTGTGGGTCTCATTTAGCAGATATCCAACTTCTTTAAGAGCAGGGATGTTGAAGAATGGAGAAAATGAACAGATGCTGAATTTATTACTATGTGTTACCTAGCTCTGAACTGGCCAGACTCCTTGATGTGCTTTTTCCCCATCTTCTGAAAGCTCTTGTGGGTTTTTTTGGCTGTGTCATTGAATTCTGATTTGAGCAGAGATGAACAAACCTTAGTCAGACTGTAACAGTAAGGAGGAAAGGAGGAATTTTGAGTATTTTACTGTAAATGGTATGAATTACTGGTGAACAAAGGAAAATCAAGCATCTGCATGATGAAATATAACTTAAATTGAGAAATTACATTACCTCTGACACTTTTCTGGTTTCAAATACTAGAAGATCTTAAATGTGGTGTGTTACATGGCTTCGCTGAGAAGCAAAACACTTTTGAGTGCATATTATTCACTAGAATATGGCCTTATTTGCAAACTTCTACTTTCTTACTGGGCAGTTCTTTGGAGACTTTATTTTCAAATATATAGTCCATTATGCACAATTAGTTTGGGCTATATTTCTACTTGCTTCTTTACTTAAAATATCCAAGTCCAACTTAGCATACACTTATTTTGTGCTTGGATACTACTATCAGTGCTCATATATCAGACTCATTTATAAGTAATGCCATTCTCTCCTTACTTGCAGGATGCTGGAATATGGTATTTGTTCCACAGGGTTGCCACAGGAGATTCTCATAGTTTAGCCATAGAAACCAAGTCAGAGCTTACACCCCTAGGAATCTTCTATAACAACAGGGTTCATTCTAATTTTAAGGTAATGTTATCTCATTAAAATAAAATTGAGGTTTTTTTATTTGTACCTATTTTATATTAAGACTTGTCTGTTTGTTTTAAGCTGGTTAGGTGATGGATTCATGCTGTGTTTGAACTGCGTAATTCTATCTAGGTGTTGCAGAATGATGAGGTATAATCAGCATGTTTATAGTTTCTTGTCACAGTTATATATTCACTGTGTTTAATATTCTTATAAGGCACAAAATAATCAATTAATGCTTCTAATGAAATACATTTTCTCAAAAGTAACATTTCAGATGCTACTCTCTTACTGATGGCTCTGAAGAAAGCTGACCCGTGAAGCATCAACATTTTTTACAGTTGTGATTCATCTAATAGCTTCCTGGACTAGGAAGCTTGTTTTCCTTGTTTTCCAGTTACTCGGTTGTTTGCACATGGTAGCACAGTCTCTGACTAGAGATTAAGCTTTCGGGTTGCCTTCAGAAGCACAGCCATTGACAATAGTTTTTTGTTAGAGGGCTCTCAGCCTAGATACAGGCATTCAGTATTGCTTTATTAAAGTGACTAAAATATTTTCCACATTCAGCTAATTTAAAGCCCTTTAATTATTTTATTTGGAATCTAGTATATGTATATATATAATTACATTTACAAAGTCACCTAACTTTAAATGTTTATTTGTGTTTGAAGTTTACCCAATAAAGTTCAGGATGACTATTGGATTTTTTTTTTTTTATCAAGTGAAATTGATTTTACTTGACAGTTGGGTGTCTGGGATGCCAAGAAACAATGCACTGCTTTATAGAAGTTGTGTTAAGGATGTGTTTGGGACTGTAAGGCATTTGTTCAGATTGGGATTAAAACATACTGAATTCCAAAAGTGCATTGTAAAGAAAAAAGTGTTTCAGCTGTATAACTCGCAACATCTTTAAACAAGGTAGCAGTTTGTGTGCTAAACTTCCCTGTTAAAAGAGGAAACTGTACTAGCAGGTCTGAGGATCTACTCATGTAGGAGCGCTCAGTTGTAATCATAATTGGAATTAGAGGTGAAAGTAACTGCAAGTATTTGTGTATGTAATTCAGGTAAAATAACACAAATGCTTCCTTTTGCTTCCATATTCTCAAGTAAATTATTTCATACTGGATTACTGAGTTTCAAGATGATGATTGCTTATGCAAAAATCTGCTTCAGCGGTGATGGTAGTTTAGTTTTAAAGTGAAATACAAGGCATTTTTCACAGTGCTATTTTTTTTTCCCCACTTGTGAGAATATTTTGAATTCACCACAAGGTTGGCTTCTAGATTTTCCAGAATAGCATCTGGAAATAAGTGTAAAACGTCAAATAGTTAGATGTTATGAAAGACATCTGAAATGAAATTTAATTATTTTGCATTCTTTCTTTTTAATTCCAGGCAATTCTTTTCCTCTTCCTCAATTAGCATAGAAAGTTGCTGGTTTTCTCTTTGACAATAAGTCAGTTAAGGCCAAACTGAACTATCAAAGTGTTTTTAATTCATATATTGAAGAAAATGTAAGGTTGAAATTTTAGATGTTTATCTCTAGTTTTGCATAGTATGAATTGTCTTTTCTTACTTGTTTCAGGCTGGTTTGTTTATTGATAAGGGTGTTAAAACAACTAATGCTAGTGCTGATGATCCCAGAGAATATCTTTCTTTGGACAACAATGCAAGGTAAAGGTTATTGTCTTTCAAGTGAGTGAAAAATGGCAAAGTTCTGAGATTGCTCTTACATTCACATGAGGAAAAACATTTTTAGAACAATGTAATTACTTATAAATAATAACTGAACAATAAGTTCAAATATATTCTTTTCCCTCACTTATTCACCTGCTTTGGGTACAAGAGAGCATGGCATGCCTTAAAGGAGTTAGCTGTTTCTTCTGAGCCCTTACTCAGGGTAATTTTCAGCCTCTTAGAAGACATCAGTTTAAACATGTTCTACTGTTAGGCTTTAAGTATTTTTTGGAATTGCTGCTAAAAGTAAATTCTTAGAACATAAATCAGAAGAGATGATTTTAAACTAAGTAATTGTTAGAAAAAGGCACCATAGAGCCAAGTAATACATTCACATGCCTTTTCTACTGCTGAATGCTTCTGTCTGTACCTTCTAGACTTGGAGATCACAGCTCAGTGGTGCAGTTTTACTGAAGGCTCTTTGCAGTACAACCAACCACATTTCCTTTAGTTTACAAAGTGACAGAAAATAATGGAGTCTAGGAAAATTCCAGTTTATGCTATGCCTATTTAGTCTTGTCCTGAACTTCAAAAAAAAATAGCCTGGGATAGTGGTCAGATGACAATATTGCATAACCGTATTCATCAACATTTTGTTGTAACAAGTAACCATGAAGACTGTAAATATGGTTCATAAGTTTATCATTATTTCTGGTTGACTTGTTTTTAGGATGAGGTTGGTTAACTGATTGTTGCAGATGCAGAAAGGAAAGTTCCCAATTCTGGTGATTCTTGATGATTCATGATTTGGAAATGAACTCACTAGTTTGAAGTTTTGACAGAAAACCCATATAACCTTGTGGATTACCTCAGCCATAACCACTAGTCAGGAGGAACATATGAGGGGCAAAATGCCCTGTGAGAACCTGTGGTGTCTTGACAGGTCATCAACTGAAGATGTGAGAAACTCAGCACATGAGATAGGGTTCAGGTGTCACAGCAACCAAAGAACTGATGAGGTACTCAGTAACTATATAAGGCTACTAATCATTGTACATGGAACCATACTGGAGGGGTTTAAATGTTAATTAGGAGCCTGAGATTATCAAAACTAAACATTCACCCATTCTCCCCTCATGGGATACAGGGCAGATAGAAATAAGAGTACAAGGTGATCAGGATAAGGGGTATATATATCTTTATCCACTCAATGCATTTTTGTAATATGTTTTTTAATGTATTTAATGTATTACTTTTTCTCTGGGATCTTGGGGATAATCAGGTGAAAGCTTCCACTAGTCTCTAATTAGGCTATTTCTTTCTTCCAGTCATAACGTACTGTACAAGACCATCTTGGTAGCAACATGGAGTGTCTAGGTTGGAATAGAAAAATGTCTCAGGTGTGATAGAAGAAGAAGAACTCCTCAATGTCAGGAGAGTTTGAAAGACTTGAAAGAGCAGTTAGACAAACCTCCAGCTTTTTTTATATAGTGCATGTCAGCCTGGTTTATCCTTCCAAGGAGCTTCAATTCTCTCCATCAAATTTTACATTAATGCTGCAGTACAAGTGGGAAGGGAGTACTTTGGAGACAACAAAAAGAAAAAGCAGTGAGATTAAAGGAGGTGAGATGCAGCTAAAGAAACTCAGGGAGATTAAGCAAGAGCCTATGAGAATTACTGGAAAAGAGAAGTTTTATGTTCCTGCTTCATTATACCCCAAAACCCCTTTCCTAGAAATAGAGAGATAAGGTGCACCTGGTTTTGCCTTCTGTTATTCCAAATATGAAGCAGAGTGGATTTTGCCCATCAGATGAGTATGAGTGTTTATCTTTCAGTCTCTCTCTGAGCCCAACATATGTGACACATGTAAAACAAACAGTATGCTTATATTGAGTGTTTAAGTTTTTGTCTTTCCTAGGTTTCGACCTCATCAAGATGCAGACCCTGAAAAGCCCCGAGTTGCTGCCCTGATTGACAGATTAATTTCTTTCAAAAACAATGATCATGGGGCCTGGGTCAGGGGAGGGGATATCCTCATTCAAAACTCTGGGTAGGTATCTGGAAGCAAACAGCTGCGTGTTGTTAAGAAGTTTCCCCTGAAACTTTGTTTATGAAAGTGTATTGCAACAGGGTTATAAGAGAAGACTTGATACTTAACTTGAGGAACTTCTCAATAACTTGAAGCACTTTAACACCATCCCACTACATTAAATGAAACAAGTTTAAACATGATTAGATGAGAACCTGCCTTAAACAGCAAAAATAAACTATGTAGTAAAATGTCTAAAAGTTGGTAGAGACAGTAAATTTATACTGAGACATCTGTGGATTCCCTGAAGCTGTCATGTTTACCTACTTAAAATGTAAAAGTAAAACCAAGTAATTTTCTATAACAGCAACATTTTTATAAGAGGTATTAAGTGTTTGGTGGTTCTAAATTCCATTAATAGAAAATGTCAGGCTTTCTTCGATGCTAATGAGTTTCGGATAACCTAGAAAATATTAATGAAGCTCTGAACTTTCTTTTAGGTTTGCAGACAATGGAATAGGTTTGACATTTGCTAGGTGAGTACTGTAAGTTAATCACTTCTGGTTTGGGTGTTTTGGGGTTTTTTTGCCTGGAAGCTTAGAAAAATATATATCTTATCTATTAAAATGAATAGGTATACTTTCATAAGGCTATAGTTTCATTTTTGGGCCCTGCTCTATTTCCAGTGGTGTGGATAATGTTATAAAGGCTGTAAATTGACACAACTGCCAAAGCTTGCGTTTTGATTCAGCTTATGCTTTATTTACGCCACAATTTGCTGCCTCTTCACCAGAAGGGTTATATTTATCCAAGTATTTTTGGTATTGTGTGATTCCTTAGGTAGTTCTGATTTTCCTCCTGAAGAGCTGAAAGTGAGTAATGAAGAAGAAAGGGGATGAGCATTTAGAGGAGGTAGAGTCACTTTCTAGTAAAAAAGAGTCAAGTAAGCTAAAATTGTTGCCATTTAGGTTATGACAAAATGGTTCTAGGATTGCAAAAGTGGATTGTAAAAGAAACAATGCTGCACTACAAAGGGAGACAGAAAATTTAACGCTTAACTCTCTGCTGGCGTTTCAAACAGTCTGTAATACTGTTAATGATTAAATTTAAATTTTTATGTTTTGTAAATGAAGTCTAGACTGCTCTGCTTTAAGAGGGCTGTTACAGAAGTAAAAGTAGGACTATGCCTCTGTGTTTATTTGCTGGAGAGTCTTGGCTAAAAGCTTATCTCTGACATTGCCTTAATAGTGATGGGAGCTTCCCAAATGATGAAGGTGCCAGCCAGGAGGTATCTGATTCATTGTTCATAGGTGAGAGCAAAAATTATGGGTTTCCAGGCGGCCAAAATAAATATGTGGGAACTGGAGGAATAGACAGCAAGGCACGCACTCTGCCTAGAAATCGGTAAGTATGTTATGAGTGAAGGAAGTAGAAATGGTACAAGAAACATTATCTGTATCAGATGTAAACTGGGGCCATCAGTTCAAGAAGGACAGGGAATTGCTTGAAAGAGTCCAGCGCAGAGCCACAGAGATTACTGAGGGAGTGGAGCATCTCCCTTATGAGGAGCGGCTGAGGGAACTAGGTCTCTTTCGCTTGGAGAAGAGGAGACTGAGGGGTGACCTCATTCATGGTTATAAATTTGTAAAGGGCGAGTGTCAGGAGGAAGGAGCCAGACTCTTCTCAGTGACAGCCAATGATAGGACAAGGGGCAAGGGGAGCAAGCTGGAGCATAGGAGGTTCAAACTGAATATGAGGAAAAACTTTTTTACTGTGAGGGTGACAGAGCACTGGAACAGGCTGCCCAGAGAGGTTGTGGAGTCTCCTTCTCTGGAGACATTCAAAACCCACCTGTGTGACCTAGTCTAGGTGATCCTGCTCTGGCAGGGGGGTTGGACTGGATGATCTTTTGAGGTTCCTTCCAACTCGTAATATTCTGTGACTCTTTGTAAACTACCTTATTGCTTGAGCTGTGAGAGATTAGGACTCTATCAAAGGTGACACTCTCTTTTTAATACTTCGTGTGCAAATGTGTGACTCTTGCCTTTTTGCTGAGTCAGTTTTCATCTGATGCTACCATAGGTTGCTTTTCTGTAGTTATTTAAGTTTTTCTACTTTAATGAAACATCAGTCTTAAACAACATTTGGGCCTGGAAGAGAGAAAGAAAAAACTTGTTCAGGTAAGAGTATTTCTAGAGTCAGTTTAGGACTAGAGACTACCATCTGTCTGTGACAAATCCCAATCTGTGACCATGACCTTTTTTTTTCCTATGGCTTGCTGTGATGCTTGTTTAACATAGCTGCTTAGATATTTAGAGGGATGAAGTTAATGTGATGATGATATATGAAGTATTGAGTCTAGTTGAGCAGAACCTAAGAACAGTTGAGTTTTGAAGGGACCTTTGGAGCCCATTTTGTCTAACTTCTTTGCTCAAGCAAGGTCATCTAGAGCTGATTGTCCAGGACCCTACTGAGACAGCTTTAGAATATCTCCAAGGATGGAGACTCCACAGCCTCCCTGAGTGACCTGTGCCAGTGCTCAGTCACCCTCACAACAAAAACTTTTCTCCTTACGTTCAGGAGGAACCTCCTGTGTTTCAGCTTGTGCCCACTGCCTCTGGTCCTGTCACTGGGCACCACTGGAAAGAGCCTGGCTTTGTCTTCTTTACACCCTCCCTTCAGAGATTTTTATACACTGATGAGATTCCTGCCCGAGCCTTCTCTGCTCCAAGCTGAACAGTCTGAGTTTTTCCAATATTTCCTCCAATGAGAGATGCTCCAGTCACTTAATCGTCTTTGTAGCCCACCCTTAGACTCTCTCCAGTAACGCCGTGTCTGTCTTGTACTGGAGATAAACACTCTATATGTGGCTTCACCAGTGCTGAATAGATGAGAAGGATCACCTCCCTCAGTCTGTTGGCAACACTTCTCGCAGTGCAGCCCAGGATACCATTTGCCTCTTTATGGCAAGGGCACATTATTGGCTTATGGCCAACTTGATTTCCATCAGGACCCATACCTCCTCTTCACTGGTGCATAGGGTTGTTCTTCCCTAGGTACAGGACTTTGCACTCTCACATGTTGAACTTTGTGAGGTTCCCATCTGCCCATCTCTACAGCATGTCAAGGTCTATCTGGATGGCAGCATAACCCTGTGGTGTATTAGCTGCTCTTCATAGTTTTGTGCCTACTGCAGGCTTGTTGAGACTATATTCAGCCCCATCATCCAGATCACTAATGAAGAGGTTGAACAAGAGTGGACCCAGTGTTGACCCCTGGGATACACTACTAGGTAATGACCTCCAAGTAGCCTTCATGCCTCTGGGCCCAACCATTCAGCTAGGTTTCAATCCACCTTACTGTCTTCTCATCCAGCCCATACTTCATAAGGGTCTTATGGGGCACAGTGTCAAAAGCCTTACTGAATGGTAGACCATGTCCATTGCCCTCACCTTGGCTGCTAGACCAGCCATTTCATCACAGAAGTTTATCAAGTTGGTCAAGAATGACTCCTCCTTGGTGAATCTATGCGGATTACTCCTGACTGCTTTCTTGTCCTTCATGTTTCATGAAGGACAGCACAACTAGTTGTCCTTCGGCTAGCACAACTAGCTGCTCCATCATGTTCCCAGAGATCAAGCTGAGGCTTACCAGCCTTCAGTTTCTTGGGTGTTCCCTCCTGAAGTTCGAAGTGACATTTGCTTTCCTCCCGTCTATGGGCACTTCTCCCACATGCCATGATCAATCAAAGAGCAGTTAGTATTATTCTCCTGCTGTATTTCCCATATTGGAAAAGGGGCACATTTGTGAATGGACAGTGATAGCTCTTCTAACAGGAAAATTCAAGAGTGGGTGATTTTTTGACTCATTAGATAAGTGCAGAAACAAGATTTCCTTTACAAAGATACGAACTGCAAATCATTCTCTTAATGTCACTCTATTGATTCCTCTGAGAGGAAATGTATTTATGATACAGATTCAGGCTTAGCATGGTTTTTGTTTTAAAGGATCCTATAAATATTTGCTTATATTAACAGGACATTTCCAATCAGAGGCTTTCAGATTTATGATGGACCTATTCATCTTACCAAATGCACATTCAAAAACTTTGTGCCAACTCCAGACAGATTTACCAGTGCAGTTGGATTTTTGATGAAAAATCCATGGCAGATGACACCAAAAACCAACATTTCTCTTGTGAAGTTTGGTCCAAATGTAAGTTTATTACAGGATTTCTTTTAATCTTGCAAATGGCTTTTCTTATTATTATATTTAATATAAACATCCAAAGGCTGTAGATCATCTTTTCCATACATCATTATTCCAGAGTTTCTCTCTTGGTTGGAAGTGACCCAAGGTGTATCCTTTGTCTCCCAATAAAAAAGTAATACAAAGGGAGATGTAGGATATGTTACAATAATGATCTCTTTCATAATGGTAAAGCTGAAAGGAGATTTATGTAAGGTTTGGTATATCCTTAGTAATTAATTTTCAGTTGCAAATATTAACACTATTTAGATGCAAGAGCTGGCCTAAGCCTATTACTAAAAATCAAAATGTTTGTTTTGTAAGATTCCAGTGTCCTTGCCATAGGGTTTTTCATTAAATTTGTCAAATGCCTGTGTTTTCACAGGTGTGCAAGTGTGCTTTGACTGTGGAAAAAATAAATATTTTAATTGTTGTTGCCAGGTTTCTTTGAAAGCCTTCTTTGGAAAACCTGGTCCCTGGTTTGAAGAAGGAGATCTGGATGGTGACAAGAACTCAATATTCCACGATCTAGATGGTTCAGTGACTGACTACAAGGATACCTATGTGGGCAGAATGGATAACTACTTGATTCAACACCCCAAATGCATTAATTTTACAGAATGGAGTGGAGTGGTTTGCAGTGGGACCTATGCACAGGCTAGTGCTCTTGTAGCTTTCTGTTTGGGTCAAATGTACAATATCAACAACTTGTGGGGGGCAAGGAGAATATAGAAACTACAAAGTTACCTATCTTTGGATTTAAAAATTCTCTAAGGTTTTAAAAATACTTTTATGCATATTATACTTTTCAGCGGGTTGTGTATATCGTGTTCCCTTCAACACTCAGACTGGGAGTACAGTATTAGATGCTGCAAGGTAAAACCAAATGTGTATGCCTGCCAGTTCTATGTTGCAGCCATATCTGCTAAAACATTTTTGTGTTGGAGGTGTTTTCTTCCACTGGAGTTCTGTCTTGTCTTTTTTTCACAGCATAGGTTTTGAGGGGCTTTTCATTTATTTTTTCTTAAAGTAGATGTTACATACCACCTTATGAATAGAAATCTCACATAGAGATGGGTTTTTTCCCCATTCTGGTTACTGTTCTATATGAGTTTCGCCAAATAGTGTAGTTGATTATATAGATTTTTTTTTCATATATTTTTTTCGTTCTCCCTTTTTTTAGTCTGTAAATAGGTTTTCAAATAGGGCTCTTCTTCAGGAGATGTTTGTGTATTGTGTAACTCAGAACATCACATTAAAGTGTTTTGGCTAGTGTTCTGATTATTCTTTGCTATTTCATTTCATTTTGTATAGTGTCCAAATCTTTCCTCTTTCTTTTCCTCCTACATAATACTATATTAGGTTTATGTCCAAACCTGGAATGGACAGAATCTTTCCATGACTATTGTACGAGATGAGTACCCAGCCAATCCCATGGTTCTTCGAGGTATTAATCAGAGAGCTGTCTTTCAGCAATACCAGCCAGTAGTGATGCTCCAAAAGGGTTACACAATACATTGGAATGGAAAAGCTCCAAACGTCACCTACCTCTATCTCATTAACTTCAACAAGTATGTTTACTTTCTTTCATGTCATTGATCCATAGGGCAATGCTGAAGTAATGTCCTGCAGAATTAGCTTACCTGAAAGTTTGCAACCATCAGTAAGGCTGGATCTCAAGTTAGAGTTTTTTTTGTGATTACAAATACTAAGGCATGAAAAGCAGGAGATTAAGCAGTAGACCTGCACATAAAGTTAAATATTTGGCTGGTACAATGTCTTTTAAGGAAAATACTTTGGAGAAGAAAATGTGCAGATAGTGAAGTTGAGCAGAATTGCAGCTGCATAGTTTGGCATACTTGATTTTGTTGACAGATAAACTTATTAAATGTCTAAAGTATAAAATCAAATTCTGAGAGTATCAAAGTTACTATAATATTTAATGAAACACTTAGTGTAGAGAGGGGAAGAAAGATCTTCAAGTTGAGGGTTTGGTAGCTTTTTATGTTCCTGTTACTTGTTTTTTCAGTGACCTGTTTGCTGCATATTGTTGTTTAATCTGTTCCTATAGTGAATCTTACATTTTTATTTTGTTTTCAGGAATGACTGGATTCGTGTTGGTCTTTGTTATCAACCAAATACAGATTTTGTTATAGTGTTGGAAACCTTTCAAAGGCGATCATCTGCCCTGTCAAGCAAGGTAGAACGCTACATGCCTGTATCTTCAATGATGGAGCTTGAAAAGAATCGATCAAACAAGAAGTTTTACTTTGACAACAGTACTGGGTAACTCCTTGTAACTTTTGGAAGATGTTGTTTAATCTTAAGATGTACAGTTTAATAGTGTTAAAAGCAACTGATTGAGACACTTTCATAGGAGGAGAGCTGTTGCAAAGGAGCCCAAAGCCTCTTGGAAAGAATACTCTATGTGACTTTGAATCTCCCAAATAGAGTGGTTGTCATTGAAACAGTTTTCCACCATAGATGCCACAGATATTTTCTACCCCATGCCTGGGGAAAAAAGGCAACTGGCGTGCTGCAGACCGGTATCTTTTAGGAAGTAACTTCTAAGTCTTCAAAGAAAATCTGTGCCGCCTTGTTAAACTTAAAATTCTAGAAATTTCTGAGAAGTTTTCTGTTCCAAGAACATTTTAAGAGTGTATTTCTGAAAATTCTAATATGTCTTCAGCCTTCTCAAAAGTACTTAGAAGCCTCGCTTTCAAAAGTACTTCTGACAGAGGCCACTGCAATCCTTCCAAGAGGTTTAAGATATGGTCAGCTTCGAGTAAAATAAGGCCTACATACATCACTTGTGTGTTTTGCCAATGTTCATCTTAAATTTGTAATTTGTTCTCTTATTTATTTTGTTCCCTTATCTGCTACTTTGTCTACAGTAAATATGGAGATTAATGTAGCTTTTGAAAAGACATGTATGTTGACTTTTTTCTAAGAGCTACAGTGATAACAGTCAAATACATAATAGAAGAATTACCAGTCTCTATGTACTGTGAACATCAATGACCACTACTCCCTAAATTGCATTTCCAGGCATTTGCAACAGTACAGTTACAATGTCCGGGGTTGATGGGTGAAGCTGAATATCCAGACAGTTACTGCTCAGTATCTGCAAAGATCTATGATCGCAGAATACATTTATGCGCTACAGTTTGGGTTTTGTTTCCTACAAACCACTGATTTGAGGAGTGGCTGTTCTTTTCAAAGTATATGCATTCATACTGATGTCTTCTTTAACTGTTGGGATACATCAGCAGAGACTTCCTAAGTCTAACAAACTGTAAATATTTTTTAAAGTTTGAACAATGGTGCAGAAGTGAATACTATAGTTTCTGTTCTTCTGAAAATCACAAAATACAGCTGTTAAGGTTTAACATAAATATGTATCTTTCCAGCAATTGATCTCGATTCTTTTTCCTCCATTTGTATAGATTGCTGTTTTTATTTCTCCAAGCCAAATATAATAGGGATGGTCACAGTTATTGCTCATCTCAGGGATGTGAAAGGATCAAGATTGTGACCAAGGATTCAGCAAAAGGGATCAGTAACTGCATGTCAAAAGCTTACCCAAAGTACTACCAAGGACCAACTGTCATAAAGCAGATGCCAGTAAAAACTACTGTACCATGTACAAAATGCGGCACTACTCAGGTAAAATAAAATAAGCAAAAACTTTCATGAACACTATAGTTGGTGTTGCTGTCTACTTACTTTAAGGCAGAGTTTCAGTCTTTCAGCAGAGAATACTGCACATACCAGTTTACAATGGTCACGTCATTAACGTCCCATAATCTAGAAAGTGTGGAGTACCTTGTAGAGCAAACATTTCAGTTTTTGTTCTTTGAAAAATGCTGCTTTGCCTCTCAGTACCTCAGTACTATGGAGAAGGGACATAGATAGATCTGATGTCTTGTACTACAAAGGACATTGTGGCATTGGAGCATGTCCAGAGAAGGGTGAGAAAGCTGTTGAAGGGTCTGGAGCACAAATCTTATGAAGAGCAGCTGAGGGAACTGGGATTGTTTAGTCTGGAGAAGGGGATTCTGAGGGGAGACCTCATCACTCTTTATAGAGTTACCTGAAAGGAAATTGTAGCAAGGTGGGGATCAGTCTCTTCTACAAAGTAACAAGTGATGGAACAGAAGGAATGGCCTCAAGTTGTCCCAGGGGAGGTTTAGATTGGGTATTAGGAAAAATTTCTTCACTGAAAGGGTTATCAGGCACTGAAATCGGCTGCCCATGGAAGTGGTCAAGTCACCATCCCTGGGTGTATTTAAAAGACAGGTAGATGAGGTGCTTAGAGACATGGTTCAGTAGTGGACAGGTTATGGTTGGACTCTATGATCTTAAAGGTGTTTTCCAACCAAATGATTCTGTGACTATCTGTATTCCATGTCAGATAGTTTTGCTGCAGAGGTCTATATGCTGGTGGCCAACCTTCCCTCTTTTTTGGATCTTTGCTTATTAGCATGAACTCAAAACTGCATTATCATTTTAGCTGTGTAAGCTGAGAAAAATACTGAAAGTAAGGAATAAAATGGGTTACACTATACATCATGGTATTTATTAGCATTGCTAGTGCCACAAATAACGCCACTGACAAATGGATGCATTTGCTTTGGAGCATGGATAGTCTGTTGTAAATTGTCTGGCATGATAAAGTGTTGAAGACATGTGGATATGTGTACTTAACATGTTTCATTTGATATCCAGATGGTATTCACCAGTGATCCTCACAAAAACTACCTCCTTGTGCACATTAATTCATCTGGTAAAAAAGAGTTAAGCAGAGGTCAGCAAGCATTTATTTCTGTAAGTAATCTTTGCAGTTTTATTCTATCTCTTTAGTAGTTTGTACTATAACAGTTGCACAGCTCTACATAATGCTGACCTCACTTTTCTTCACTTGAATGAAAAGTGTTGATTTGCAGTTTAAAAAACAGTCAAAAAGCTGGTATTTTAGCCTCAGTAAATGAGACTCCAAAGCTCCATTTTGTATTCAAATCCTTTCCTGATGGGGAGAAAATTGTACCAATAAGGGAGAGTTTAAAGTCTTCAGATTCATGTTGACATCTGGATGGACATACATTTATTGATGACTGCTTTTGGGAGAAAAAAAAAAAGACAATACCAAACAACCTGTTAGTTACATCCATGGTGTTGATATTCTTTTTGTGCTAACAGATTGAGAAGTTGATGGGATGAGTCATTCAAGATATTATATTTCGCTAAATTCCTTCAAAATGGAAGGAATCCATAAGGAATCCATAGAGAGTTTTGTATTTGTCCTGATGCAGTCCTGATAAGACTAGTGATACGATACTGTATAAAAAGTCTTTCATTTCAACTTCTATTCTATTTGACTTTCAAGTCTATTCGGATGCTGAAGAAGACTTGCACGTAATGCTGAAATAGCATTTGCAGACATCCTCATGCCACAAAGCTTAAAGTCTATATGTAGCTTACATTCTGCAATGTCAGCACGTTAGCTTGGTTGAAATAGTAAAACTTCTGAGTTATTCAGACAGGCAGATGGGATGTGAGCAGCGTAACCTTAGCAGCTGCAAACCTCTATGGGAATGTGTGTGCCGTATCCAAGTAGGAAGAAGCTGAGCTAGACCCAGGCTGCTGCAGAAACAGATTAGTATTGTACTATTGCCAAGAAGCCTAGGTGGTTCAATATCTGAATTTTAGCTTCCTGAAGCAGAAGCGATGACCAAGGCAGGTACTAAGTCTCCTGAATTGTATAATCTTCTGGTAGAAACTGGGAACTGAAGGCTCCCATGCAATTTCAGAAGTGCCACTTGAAAGCCTCCCCTCAAAGGTAAAAATGAAAACAGGCTAGGGAGAAACAATTATTTGTAAGGAAATTATTACATCACTGTGTTTGCGCTAGATAAAGATTAACACTGAGTGCGGTAGAATTGCAAAGAAAGAAAGTTCTTTTCTCTTCTTTTTCTCCTTCCATTCAGGTCAATGACGCACTCTTTTCCTTCAAGGATAATGGTATACTTATTGTTGTAGTTGATGCCTGCATTGGCACTGTAATGGGAAACAAATTATTTTCTGGAGTAGATATTAAGCATGTAGATGGATATTTAAAATCTGGAATTCCACAAAGGTATGTGTAATGACCATTTATTTCTGCTATGTCCTGTAAGCTATGGCTCTGCTCTCTAATGAGGTTTTAAATAATGAAACTGAAAGTGAGCAAAATACGTATCTAAATTGAGGGGAAAGGTGAAACATAGAAGCATTTTAACAGACAGTTTAGCCTATCTGAGTAAACAAAGCAAATCAGATTTGAACACTTACAATTTTCCAGTGTTGCCTTTCACCTCAAAAAGAATTTTTTTAACTAAACATCATGTAATAACACTTCTTTGCTTAAAACAAGAATAACTTTTTGTTTAATAAGATCACTTCAAGACACTGAGAAGAACTATGTGAGAAGATGTCATACTGCTCTCTCCCTGTCTAGAGAGACAGTTGCTTATCATTAAAGAAAAATAAAAAGTTAGAATCAGAAAAATTAGAATTCTAATATTCTAATTTTGGATGAATATCTAAACTTGAGGTTTGATACAAAATATTGAACTATATTTAAATATCGCTATCCAGTGATTTTCAAGTTAAACGTAAAGTCAGTTTAAAAAAAAAAATTGAGGTGGGTGCTTTTCTAGGTACTGCTTTCAGAGAGGGTTGACTATTTCCATGTCATGAAATGACATGTCTTGGGTACTCTTAAGCAAGTGGACTATGAGGCTGGCTAGCCATAAAAGCATGCAGCAGAATATTAAGAAAACTTTGTGTTTGTAACAGCTGCTGTCTTCTGTTTCTGCTGCAGGTCTATCATTCTGCTGAGCACAAGAGGTGATGTAGCTATTCCAAATAATTTATCAGAAGCCTTAATGTCCCTGGGGACAGCCAAACCGCCTTATCTTCAGCACAACGGTTGGTGGAAATTTTGCATGTTTCTTTGACACCGCCTTGGTCTGTGTGTTTATGTTGGCGTGGCAGGTTTCTCACAGGGTGTGTGAGAAGGATGCAGCTGGTAGAAGATGACTGCCAGTTCTCACTGGTGTGGGCTGCTGCATCTTAGCCCTTGTTGATGGGGTGGGGGGCAGGCAGCCCTTCAGCAAACAGAGCCGGAAACCCTTCCTGTTGCCTCTTCACTGTGTGGAGCTTGTTGCAAGCAGAGAAGTGACTAGCAGTTCTTCATGCCTGTGAATTACAGAAAGGGAGCTCCAAGCTTTTTTTCCCAAAGCCTGTATTTTGTGCCTCACCCAGTGTATCTGTTTTTAAACAATCTCTTGTGCCAGGCTAGTATTTCCTATTCTAACAAAATTTGAAGGTAGAGATGAGAAGCTGTTGGTAATTTCAGGGATGGTCACTTTATAGGCCACATGGGGTAGCTGTCATCCTGGCACAAGTCCTGTCTGAGAAAAGAGGTTTTATAACTGTCCCAATAGCTGTCTTTTCAAATTTAAGATTTTGCAGTATTTAATACTGATTATTGATAAAGGAAATTGCAAATCATTATTTCCTTGCAAGATGCTCATGAAGCTGAGAGTGGGTTAATGTCCTGAATAATCTGGGGGGATAATTTCAGAGAAGTGTGCTGTTCCCTTCTCAACCAGTCCTGTGTTGTGCTTGGACGGGCTTGTCTGGTTCGGTAACACTGAGCTGTTTTTGTCACAGAAAGCCTGGCCTTTCTGGGCTTCAGAGGAAACTTCAAGCCATCCTGGATTAAGCTGTTTACTGGTCCTGCTGCACATGGGCTTGTTCAGATAGAAAAGTATATCCCTTTACAACTGGAAGAGTATGGCTGTGCCAGAGCAATCAAAAGTCGACGGAAAGACCTCGAGCTTCTGAAGAAGGCTACACGATCTCATTAAAAACTAAGATGTACATAAAAGCTGGGAAAAAAAATGTGAACTAACTTATTTTTTAATTTATGGCATTTTAAACTATATTGTTATCCAAGTAAACCATGTTATTGTCTGACAGATGTTTGCCAGCATTGACCGCTTGAATGCCAATCTGTGCACCTTCTAGTTGTACAAAATATTAAAAAAATTATTAGTATTTGTATAAACAGGTTTCAGAGATTTTTCAGATGTTTGTATTTACTGTAAACAAGTTTCTTCTGTTTAATAGTCCTTTTGTATGTAAGAGGGTGTTCATAAAAGCCTTAAATTTTTGATAACAGGTGTTGGAATGCATCTTCGATTACTTGAAAGATTAACATTAAAGTCTCCATCAACAGCTTGAATTGGTCATTTTAATTTAGACTTCTTCCATTAGCTGTTCAGGTGTTTTCCTGAGGGTTTATTTAGCAGTCAGCTCAGTTACATTCTCAATCTGCTTTCCAAGTTGTTAAAAACCAATCTCTCTTACGCATGCAGCTGATTCAAGGGGTTTTAAGTGCAGTAAAATTTTTGTTTTGCTGTATGAAAGGGGGATTCAAAGATCCAGCCTGGGGCTGGGTGAGGATTGTGTACTGTGCAACAGAGTTTAATGAGGCTATAGTTACCAGCTTGGCATACAGAGCACAAAATTACTACCATTCTTTGGGGTCACTGTTTACTATTCACCCTTAAACATGCAGGGAGTCCATAAGAATTACTTTAGTAAGCAATCTGGGTGTTAAGGCTGCAGTCTTGGGTACAGCTTGACTTCAGCTTTTTGTTTTATAACTTTTGGCCAGAAGGGCAAAGCTGAGATATTGTTACTCTCAGTTTGTTATGAATCTAAGCTTCTACTCTTACAGTGGTTGGTTGGTTGGTTTGTTTTAAGACTATCCCAGCTCTAACTTTTAAGTGAATGGAAAGTGCTCTCAGTTCATTCAGGCGTGCTGTATCTTTTGCTTTGATTCTTTTAATATACTCATCTTGCTAATTCCCATTGATTTTATATTAGGACTGTTTGATTTCTTTTGGTTTTGCTGCAATTATCTGACCCTTTTTGCAGATAGTGTGAAGACCTGAGGCACAGATGCCCTTTTTCAGGATTCTAGTCTTTGAAATTAAATTTCAGAGGCTGTAAAGATGTATTTCATAACAGGGAACAATAGGTGCCGTAGAGCTAAAATGTAACAATAGTTCTAATAAAACTGACATAGTTCCTTTTTTATTGTATATGTTCTCATTCATTCTAGCTGGTATAATGTATCTACCATTCAGAGATGCTTTGTGCTTGGAATTCAAAATGGAGTGGCTGTTGGTAATTAACTATACGCCTGTCTTCTCCAAAGAAGTTAAAAAACTATGGGGATTTTTTTTTTGTGCTTTAAAGGAGAGGAGACACAGTAGCAGATCTATTATTCTGTTCAGTTAAAATATGCTACCTCAGTGCTACAATTAAACTGCCTGGTCTAGTCTAGTTTCCTAAGTGAGAGGAGAGGGGTAAGGGAACACAACACAAAAGATGAAGTTAACAAATAGATTACTGATGTTATTTTTATTGTAAAACCAAGCCAAATGGATTATTATGTATTTTGCAGTTGTTTCATGCACAGTTCTTTTATAATGTTTAAAAAAGGTGTTTTGCTAGAGGGAGATGTGGTAAATCTTTAAGACTAGCTATAATGTTTGGTGTTACTAATGCAGCACAATTTTATTTAGATGGTCTGAGTACAGTAGTCATAGTGTTTGGGGATTAAAATGGTTCTCAGATTTCCACGGTTCTGTGGGTCATGCTCAGCAGAGAAATACTGATGAGATAGTGGCCTTCAGGCTTGTGAAGTTGGCCATTATTTATGAGATTCTGCTGTTCTAAGCCATCTTGTAAAAATTGTACTTGAAAGTGTCAAGAGTATTTTGATGTAGGGCTTACTGATGGACAATTGGACCTGAGGTTGAAGTGTTGTCGTTTGTGTAAATTTAAACACTTGATAAATAGCATAAATAAATTTTTACATCTGACAAGTATTTTTACATCTTGGTTCTCTTCTGTTCTTGTATCAAGTAATTTTGTAATGTGTGTTGTGTGAATACTATAAACTATTTTATTTCAAACACCAATAGACCTGTGAATTTTATAGACCATATTCTATTCTTCCTTCAGAAACAGTTTAGGAATACCAGGACAGGAGATAGTAGTGGTGACTGAAGTTACTTATAGGCCTGTCTCTAAAGTCTGTCATCTTAAAGTCTGCCTGAGCTGCTGAGTGTAGAGTCATTTCAGCTTGGTGGGGGCCAGTGCGGGGGCATCTCATCCAGGTCTATAACTACCTGCTAGGGGAATAAAGAAGACGAGCCAGGCTATTCTCGATGGTGCCCAGTGGCACATGACAAGAGACAGTGGACCCACATTGAAAGGCAGGCAATTCCATGTAAACAGAAGAAAATCTTCTACTGAGTGGGTAGTTGAGCACTGGAACTGCTTGCCAGAGAGGCTGACCAGTCTTTGTCTGTCGAGGAGCAGCTGTAGCTGACCCTGCTTTGAGACATGTAATGCCTTGGGCCCTCTCCAGAGGTGGCTGACAGCCTGAATGATGCTGTGGTTGTGTGCAGTTAAAATCAGCAATGCATCTGACTTCTCTTTTCCAAGCACACCAGCTGCCACAGCCTGCAAGGGCTGAGCCACATGCTTTTCGCTTCATGCCTGAAAGTCAGTGAGATCTTAAAAATGAGACATCTTTGCCCCAAGCTCAGCCCAAAAGGCATTGTAGTTGCCTCTTTGTGGTCAGGATTTGTATACAAATAGATTGATGCCCATTCCTTAAATGGTGTCATTCTGCAGTAAAGAAATTAAAAACTCACTGGGCTAGAGAAAGGAAGGCACATTTAAAGCTCTAATGTGATATGTTAGAACTTTTTAAGGGACATCTGGACTCATGTTCTTGCTCCACAGGTTGTTTTTTGTACTTTTTTGTTGGTTTGGGGTTTTTTTTGGTGATTGTTATAATGTTTTAAAAACGGTAACAAAGAACAAAAGAATAAATAAACTACTTGAGGTAGGGATCAGATTAAATATACTTATCAGTAAGATGCTCTCTTTGGCCGAAGGCACTACGGAAAATCCACTATAGTAGGGGTTGGAGACTCATCCCTAAAGAGGCAGGATGAGGGCAAGGACATGCTTCAGGAAAATATAGACTTAATTCTGCATATTGTGGGACTGCAGTGACAGCTGAGGCCTCGGATAACTTCTGAGCCAGGATGAAAATAAGCTTTCCTATTCAGGGCAAATCCTGTTGTTTCCTCTGCTTTCCCTCAACTCCTTTTCACACTGTGTAGAAAGGATGTGTATCTGAGGACAGTTACGCAGAGCCCAGTCCACTGAGTTTGATGATAGCTGCATCAGATGGTGCAATGGTCAATGAAGGTCAAAAGGGTATGTCACAGCTATATTTGTTTAAGGTGGTGCTGGTGTCATCCTAGTGTCCAAAAAAAATGAAAAGCAGTAATTGAATATGCATTTATGTCAGCTTTTCCCAATAATTACTTTTCCACTATTTCTGATGGTACTTGTTCTAGCACTTATGACAAGGTCCAGTCCTTTCCTAGAGTTCACAAGCATATTTTTCTTTTCTTCTGCCTTCTTTTTTTTCCCTGTGTCTTGTGCAATTTAGAATTCTAAAATAGTAATCAGTACTGAAATATGTAAGGCCACCTTTGCCTTGAGAGAATTTATGACTTCTTAATTACATGCCTAGGAGTAGTGCAATTTTCCATATTAAATTTTTATAACTATTTTAACTTGCTGAAAGAAGAAAAGAAAGGCTTGTCTGGCCATTGACTTGCATGACTGGGAATGATAAGACTGACAAATCATCTCTTCTTTATGTGATGAAACTCTGAAAAATAAATAGTTCATGGATATGATATGAATGATCTTGGGGGAGAGCAATCTGGGCATCTCCTGAGATCACCCTAGCCTTCTCTGATACATCATCTTGAGACTTCTCATGTGTCCTTCCCTTAACCCATACTGAAAAAATTCAGACTTGTGCTTTTCTTGAAAGGTTTGTGGTTCTCATGTTTGTTATAAATTGCCTTGGTCAAATCACGGAAAAATTTCAAAGTAATCAGTCTATATGAACTTTGTCCTTAAAGGCCAACTTCTTAATTTTTCTGATTCCTGTTGTATTTAGAAGTACAAAGCAGAGTTCATTGCTGTGGCTGGGAGGCAAATTCTTCATTTCATCTTTGTCCAAGTTGAATGGGGTGACAGCTGAATATTGTGATTTATCTTTTTTTTTTCCTGAGGAAATGTTCTTAGAACATGCAATGGCCTGTCTCTATATATAGGTTTTTCTAAAGAATATAAAAACAAAGTGATATTTCAGGATTATTTGTGTGTGTGTGCAAGTTTATAAGTAATAATGCTGTACTAGAGCTGCCATGAACAGTTAGAAATACAACTATCTTTTTCCTGTGCAGCATTTTCAGTGACATTTTCAACAGATACCCTAGGTTCAGTTCAGCGTGTGTTTTGTGCAATTGGTAGCTTTTAGGGATGGATGTCAGATGATGACATGTCATCTTTTTAATATCTGTGAGGTTCTTCAGCAGAAGATGGTTTACTCCATCTGAAGGGTGTGAATTATGATCTAATAGTTTTCTTCCATCTCTGGTGCAAATGACTGGCACATGTTCTCAGCAATGGCAGACAACACCACAGTTATCTGTGGTCTCATTATTTCTGTTTCTGAGAAAGTTTCTATGATGAGCATCACTCAGTAGTATATATGGCAGATTTCAATATTTTAATATTTTTTTAAATAATGTAATATGAATTTACATATGGCAGCATGTTCTGGCTTATATTTTTGTTTTTAATATTCCTATACTGATACTAGATTTTCTGTCCTTCACAACAGTGGAATGCAAAATATTAGAAGATATGAGTATGCATACACACATGAATTAGAGTGTTGAAAGCAGGCCAGCTGCCAGCATACTGCACCTAGTAATAATGGAATAGGACTCCGGTTGTATTCTGTTGGTCTATGGAAGCAGGGCCATGATTAAGAGGAACGGCCAGGGGCATTCATATAGTGCAGCTGGAGGTAAAATTTTTAGACCAGTGCAAGACGGCCTAGAGCGAAAGTATTTGCCAAGAATGTTTTCATTAATCAAGAATGAAAGTCAGAGGTTCAATCACAATCAGAAACCATTGTAGTTCCTCCATTTGGTGGACTTGGCAA